TTACGAAAATCACTCTGACGATCCTAGTGAGCCTGATAACCTGCTATACGAAAACGATTTATCTGTTTTAATAGTTGATGAAACTGGAATTGTCGAAAACATGCCTAAATTAAACGTTGATTTTGCTTTAAAATTAATTCCCGATTTTAACGGAGATAGAAAAGATTTTCACAAATTTGCCTCATGTTGTGATATTGTAAATGCTGATTTGACTCAAGTCGCAGATAAACAATTATTGGTTAGCATCATTAAATCTAAATTATCTGGTCCTGCCGATAATGTTGTCAAGCATAAAATCCTTGCAGACTGGGATGAACTTAAAATTACTCTTCAAGAACAGTTTTTAGAGACTAGAAGTATTGCTCAACTACAGTCTGAATTGATTAGAGCTAAACAACAACCTGGTGAATCAGTTAGGGCGTTTGCTAATAAAATAGAACAGCTTTTAAATGATCTTAATGATGCTTGTATAGCTTCTGAAGGCGTTGCAGCATCAGCAACAATCAATAACTTAAATTCAAAAACCGCATTTAAATCTTTTGTCGAAGGCCTAAATCAATCTTTAAAATTAATAATCAAAGCTTCCAGATTCACTAAATTGAGTGACGCTATTGAAGCAGCAGTCGAAGAAGAGCGAAATCTTAACGAAAACTTTAATCAGCACAAAAACAAAAATAAACCATTCAAAAAATGTAATTACTGTAAAAAAAATGGACATGTCGAAAACGAGTGCTTTATTAAGAATCGTTCCTCTTCTTCTCAACAGCTTCCTACATTTCCGAAGCGAGAAATTAAAACCGAGGTTCATGTTACCAATATAACTTGTGCATATTGCAAAAAACATGGTCATCATATCAAAGATTGTTTAAAGAAAAAAGCCGATGAATTTAAAAACAATCCTAATCGAAACGCTAGAAATTCTGCAAATCCTAATAATTACAGCCAGGGAAACTTCCAAGCACCAGTTGCGAGCAGCGGCGACGCAACGACGGTGACCCAATTGTAAATTGCCGTCCTATAAAATCATTCAATCTTTCAGAAACTTCTGTCAAAATACATAATGTGTTGCAAAATCCTCAATCTTGTAGTCCTAAAAAAATTACTTGTCCTCTTGTTCCAAAATCCTATACAAGTAAATATCCTATTCCTAATAATTCTTATACTACAAGCAATCCTTATTTCAATGAAGCAACCATTCCTGAAACCAATATCCTTTGTGTAAATCCTTGCGTCATTGAAGAAGCAGATAGCATTCATATGCCCTTTTCTTTAGCTAACAATGACGAAGTTAATCTTTTAATTGATACTGGTTCTCAAATTACAATTTTAAAAAAATCTTGCATTAAAGGAAACGCCATATGCTATACCGACTATAAGGCATATCTTAAAGGCATTTCCGATTCTTTAATTGCTACTTACGGAATCTGTTATGGGGAGTTTAAAATTGGAGGAGTCAATATTACTCACCCTGTATATTTAGTAAAAGATAATTTTCCTATACCGCAAGATGGCATACTTGGAAAGGATTTTCTTATAAAATACAAGGCTAATATCGATTACAACAATAATACCTTATCTCTTTCCTATGAAAATAAAATAATTCCTTTACCATTTGACACATCAAAAAATAAAACCATTATTAAAATTCCTGCTAGAAGCGAAGTCATACAAAAGGTTAAAACTTCTCATGTTCATGAATCTTTATGCCTATCAGCAGAAATATGCGAAGGTGTTTATGTGGGTAACTCTATTATTAAACCAGTTCATGGTTATTGTTTTATCACATTTATAAATACTAATGAAAAATCTGTCACACTCGAAAATCCTCAATTGAGTTTTGAAAATCTAGAACTTTACGATGTTCTTTCAATAAATAAAACTCCTTGCAATCTCGATCGTCTTAATCTGCTTACCAATTCGATTCGGACGTCTCATATGTCTAGCGACGAGCGTGAAAGTATTCTTGAAATTTGTAAATCGTTCCATGAAATTTTCTTTCTTGATTCCGACGTTTTATCTTGTACTGAAACAATTACGCATTCTATTCCTACCACAGATGATATTCCTATCAATGTTAGACCCTATCGTCTGCCGTATCACCAACAGGAAGAAGTCAAACGTCAAATTGACAAAATGCTCAAAGATGATATAATTTCTGAATCCTCGTCTGCTTATAATTCTCCTTTATTGGTTGTACCCAAGAAACCTGATATTCATGGTAATCGTAAATGGCGCGTAGTCGTAGATTTTCGTAAACTTAACGACAAAACCCTTTCTGAAGTTTTTCCGTTGCCCAATATAACAGAAATTTTGGATCAGCTTGGAAACTCTAAATTTTTCTCTACCCTCGATCTTGCTTCTGGTTATCATCAGGTCCGTACCGACCCAAAAGACAAACACAAAACTGCTTTTAGTACGTCTAATAATCATTACGAGTTCAATCGTATGCCCTTTGGTCTAAAAGGAGCCCCCTTTACATTTACAAAATTAATGAACAGTGTCTTGCTAGGATTTCAAGGAATTAAGTGTTTTGTGTACCTTGATGATGTAATTATATATGGTAAAACTCTCGAGGATCACAACTCCAAACTCAAGGATGTTTTCAATAGGTTTCGACTTCATAACCTTCAATTGCAGCCAGAAAAATGCGAATTTCTTCGCCCTGAGCTTACCTATTTGGGTCATACAATAACTGCCGATGGTATCAAACCGGATGAAAATAAAATTAAAGCCATTAAAGAATTTCCTACTCCTAAATCTCCAACTGAAATAAACAGTTCATGGGGTTAGCTGGTTACTATAGAAGACACATACAAAACTTTGCAAAAATTGCCCAACCCATGAATAATTTGCTCAAGAAAAACATTTCTTTCCATTGGTCCCCTCTTTGTGTAGAATCTTTCGAAACTCTCAAGGAAAAACTGTGTAATCCTCCGGTCCTGCAGTACCCCGATTTTTCGAAGGAATTTATTCTCACTTGTGATGCAAGCAATTTTTCTGTAGGAGCAGTACTTTCACAAGGGACAGTTGGCTCAGACCGTCCCATTGCTTTCGCATCCCGGACATTGAATAAAGCAGAGCGAAACTATAGTGTCATTGAAAAAGAACTATTAGCCATAACCTGGGGAGTCAAGCATTACAGAGCCTATCTATATGGCCGTAAATTTTTGATTGTCACCGATCACAAACCTTTAATATGGTTATTTTCCGTGAAAGACCCAGGAAGTAGGTTAATGAAATTTCGTCTTAAACTCGAAGAATACGAGTACGAAATAATCCATAAGCCCGGCAAATATAATACAAATGCCGATGCATTAAGTCGAATCCTATACGACGTGAATCCAGTAAGCACACGAAACAAAAAGTACGATCTTAATCAATTAACCTTTGAAAACTTTCTCATAGAAAAGGAGTCCTCCATAATCATTAATAATAATATAAAAGATTCACACAAAAATATTTCTGATTCCAACCCTGAATATTTGCGTGCCTATTTCATAAGTAAAGACAATTCGCAACTTCCCGATGACCTTAACGACGAAGCAAAATGCAAGTTGCAATCGGACACCTTAATCGTTTTAACACCGACTCTTATTACAATAAATAACATTAATTATGTTTTTATTCCAACGCATGAACCTAATACTATTGTAACGAATGAAATAATTTTCGAAGCAATTAAATGTTTGAAATCTTTTGCACATACAGGTGATTACCATAAAATAGCCTTTTCTAATCCTACGAAATATTCTCCGTATAAAAGTTTACAAATCGAAAACATTCGCATTATGTTCAGATATATATTTCGTGGTAATTCAGATTTGGTAGAAATTCATCATAATAATCTAATGAAAATTAAATCTAAGGATGAAATTCGTAAAATCCTAAAAGAATTCCATGATTCTCCACTGGGAGGTCATTTGGGTGTCAATAAGACCTTTAATAGAATAAGAAGTAAGTATAAATGGTCTAATCAATATAAAAGTGTTAAAAAATTTGTAAAATCTTGCGATTTATGCCAAAGGAATAAATCATCAAAATACACAAAAATGCCATTAACTGTCACCACTACAGCCTCCAAACCTTGATATCGTGGGACCTCTGTCCGTAACAAATTCCCGAAACAAATATATTCTAACATTTCAAGATGAACTAACAAAATTTTGTGAAGCTGTACCTCTTGAAAATCAAGAAGCCGAAACCATTGCAGAAAAATTCGTTTCACACATCATTTGTAGACACGGTACTCCAACTTATCTTTTAACGGATCAAGGTCAAAACTTTTTAAGCGAATTATTTAAAAATGTCTGTAAATTATTAAAAATTACAAAAATTCAAACAACCGCTTTCAGACCTGAAAGCAATGGCAGTCTTGAAAGGTCACATAAAAGTCTAGGCGAATATTTACGAAATTTCGTCACAAAGGATCAATTAGATTGGGATACATGGATCCCTTATGCAATTTTTACTTATAATACTTCCATTCATTCCGCCACAAACTTTACTCCTTTTAAACTTCTTTATGGGTTCCCTGCGGAAATTCCTAATTCCTTACAAAAGCCTCCTGAATTAAACTACAACTATGACGATTATGCGAACGAGCTAAAAAGTCGCTTGCAACATAGTTATGAATTGGCTAAACAAAATCTTATCAATTCTAAAGAAAAATCGAAAACCACTTATGACCAAACTATTAATCCAGTCACTTTTAAGGAGGGTGAGATGGTATTACTTAAAAACCAATCAAACGCAAAAGGGAAATGTAAAAAACTAGAACCAATTTGGAATGGCCCCTATAAAGTAATTAAAGCAAATTCAGAAATAAATTCAACAATTTTAGTCAAAAATAAACATCAAAAGGTTCATAATAACCGATTAAAATTATATAACTCAAGGTAGTCATTTTATTCTTGTTTCAGATGAAAGCCATACTAGCAATTCTTTCCATTTCATTTGCATGCATACTGGGCGATACAAAAACGAAATTTTTCACCTTGCAGGCAGTCAGCAGAAGTGCTGGTATCCTGTACGAATCTTTTGATACAGTTCATTTAGAAACTAGTTCATGGAAGTTGATTAATTCTATAGATTTAGAAAATTATTATGACCTCTACGATAATTTTATTTTTAGTTATAAAAAAATGGTAGAACTTTGCGATTTGAGAGATTCTCAAAAGGAATATTTAAAACCTTGTATTATGGCAAAGAGCCTATTTAATCGGATAAGTCGTGTTCTTCACCGTGTTCAAGATAATAACAGTATAATTGGAGAAATTCTAAATAGCCAGCAATTTTTAAATCGAACCAAACGAGGTTTAGTCAATGCCGTAGGCAATGTTGCAAAGGTTTTGTTTGGAACCTTAGATGAAAATGATGCTAAACATTTCAACGAAATTCTCCAAAAACTGGAAACAAATCAGATAAATATGCAACACTTACTGTCAGAACAAACAAGTATTTTTGAAAATACCATTCTATCTCTCAACTCATCAAATCAAGCAAATAAACAAATTTTTGAAAATTTAAACGGAAAAGTCAATCAAATTGAAACTTTCATCAATGATCACATAAAAGGTGTTATTGATAATATCACTTCATATGAAAATTTTGCATTACAGTTCTCTGAGTATTTTTCTCTATTCGAACTGGTCTCCGAACAGTTCCAGTTTTACCAAAGTGATCTATTAAACATAATTTTGTATGCTCAAAATGGTATTTTACATCCTTTAGTCCTAAGTCCAAAAAGGCTCATAAACCATTTAGTTAAACAAAGCATGTATTTACCAAAAGGGTTATCATTTCCTGTACCTCTTTATCATCATTATTCTCATGACCTGTATAAAACAATGCATCCAAATGTGTTTTACTCAAATTATAAATTGTACTTTATTTTATACATACCCCTTGTAAGTGATATTTCGTACAATATCGTTAAGATGACAAGTTTACCTATAAAAGTGAATAATGATAAACATTCTCATATATTCTCATTTATTTCATCAGAACACCATTACTTAGTAATAGATAGTCTTAAGCGAAACTATTTTTTTCTTGATAACAATGATTTGAAAGATTGTTCAAGAATAGATAATAAGTACGTTTGTAAAGAAAAATATCCCTTGTTCCTTTTACCAATACATAATGATTGTGAGGCACTGTTGTACACTCATCCTCAGAAAATTCCTGAGTCTTGTGAAAAACGAGTTAGTGCCATTCATAAAACAATTTTTATCAAAATTCTGAAAATAAATTCTTGGATTTTTGTTAGTCCAAACGATGAAACTCTCACAATAAAGTGTCAAAATTTTGAAGACTCTATTCGTTTAAACAATTCAGGCATTTTAGAACTTGCACCGCACGGTATCGCTTTTACAAGTTCTGTCACGCTAAAGCCAATTGATACCAAAGAAGCAAATAAGTCATTCATAAACACAATTTATTTTCAAAATCTTGACATTAAAAATGAAATCAATAATCAAGATCTTCGTTTCAGTTTCATGGAAACTTTGTCGTTGAATAAAAGTATTTTAGTACTTCCTGATCAAAATGAAAAATTAGCAAAAATTAGTTATTCCATCGATGTATTAAAAGCAAAGGAACAAAAGATGTTAAACCAAAAATCTATTGATTTTAACCATATTCATCATTATATTCTAGTATATTTAGTAGTGTTTTTAATTGTAAGTTACGTAGGTTTTAAGAAATATAAAACAATGTGCGTTAATCAAGATAAAAGGAAATGTGAAACTCCAAGTGCAACCGCTGAAAGCATCTGTTTAACAACGCGAGTGCCGCGAATAGACAAAACCGCTGACGTCCAGTTTAACGAAATAGCTGATAGTAATTCCAAAGTTTGTAATTCCAATCTTGGTGAAATTCGTAACCCCAGTTACAAATTTCATTCTTAGGAGGGACGGATGTTGTAAAGTCAATATCAATTATCGTTGATTGTCCTTTACTTAGTTTAAGCCTTCATTTTAAGTCATAATTATATTTAAACATAAAACATTGTAATACATTTTATGCAACTTATTATATTCTATTTTCTAGTAAATGCTAAATGCTGAAGCAGCAAACCGTGGTTGCCACCTAAAAGTAGGTTACTTTATAATTTTAAACCATCATTTTTTCACGTGATTAGGCTGGCAACAAAACTGTTTGTCGCTAAGCAAGCAGCAGTAGTAGTAATGTTAATTTCCACATAACCATGTATTAATCTCTGCTACTCACGTCACACAATATACGCACAGTGGCTTCAGTATATTAATTTTCTCAACCAATTAAGTAATAAATTCTAGTAGTGATCTAAGGATTTAACTTGTTTTTTTTCTTGTTTACGCCGGATACGACCCAGAACCTTCTTCGCAAACCTCAAGTTTCAAAGTTGTGGAAACTCCACAACAGAAGTATTATTTTGTGAAGATGCCTTCGTTTTGTGGCGTTTTTGGGTGCTCCAATAGAGCTGAAAGGGATAAAGTGAGGTTTTTTAGGATTCCAGCAGCATTTAAAGATCAAGGGGATCGCATAAACGAGCTATCAAAAAAACAACGGAGTATGTGAATTAGATGCCTCAAAAGGGGAGATTTTACTGTAACATTGTTGAAAATACTCGAATTTGTTCGAAACATTTTGTTAATGGTAAGTTTTATGACTGTCTTGTTAAAATACAAAAACACTTCATCTCGGTATATCAAAAAAGTTGTTTATGTTTCTGCAAGTAGGTAACTTTTAATACCTTTTAGGTAGTCCAGCAGAATTTAAGGATACAAACAATCCGGATTGGGTCCCCAGTACAAATTTAGGATATACTACGATAATAGATAAAAGCCCAGAATGAACATGCCAGTAAGCTAAGCTACATGCCAGATCTGTGCACCGATCAGAACAGTCAAAACGTTTGAGGAGTCATTCTACCACAAATTTATTTTGCTAAAGTTTATTTGTAAGGTTGTTAGTATCAAACTTTTTTATTTTTTAAACAATTTAGATTCTTAAGCATTATTTTTGTTAATAAATTGTTTGTTTACTATTGTTGAGTTGAAATGTAAAGTGGCATGTCTGTGAATAAAGATTCATTCATTCATTCACAAAAACTAAAAACAACTTAAAAAAAAAACGCAAAAATGCCGAAGCACAAACTCAAAAACACTGTAAACAATATGATCTATAGGCTTTGTTTGCCCCTCAGCAAATATGGCGGACATTGTCAAAGTCACGTGACCTGGAATGCCTAATAGTAAATATTCACAAGCAGGATGATTCTGATGACATTAATGCACCATCAACATCTAAGACGGCTCAAGCCAGTAAGGAAGAGTGGAGTTCAAAGGCAAGTGATGAATCCGCTTTGTTATGCGAACTGGAACATCAAAATCCGTCAGGAACTAAAATAACAGTTTTGAGGAAAACTAAAATCAGAAGCGAACTAAGAAAAAAGAATACTTCGCATGCTTAAGTAAATATAATATATAATATATAGATGTTAGCAAACAGGAAAATCGAAATTACCTGACCTAACCGAAAACACCTAACTAACCGAAATTACCTAACTAACCGAAAACACCTAACTAACCGAAAACACCTCACGTGTGTTAAAGGATAGCCGAGCCCTGCTGTCACGGCAAAAAGTAAAAGTCAATAGCTGGCCGTACCGATTATTGCTTAGCAACTTTGTTTTATTTACGGGCTATTGTTTTGTAGTAAAAAAAATAGTATTATTATCTGTGCAATAAAGTTATTATCAGAAGTGGGATCGACTCTTGTCCATTGGATTGCTCGTCGGAAGTTCAAAAGTGATTTTTCCCCCAGACGGGTCCGAAAAATAAAAAGAAAAAAATGGCAGAAGAAGGCGAAATCGTTAGTGATTGTGAAAACAGTGATTTTGAGCAGACAAAAACTCTGCCATTTGGTAAAAAGCGTCCTAGGGTTCAGTGGCAGGAAACACTCGTCAACTTAGTGGCCAACCAGCAGAAACAAATTGCTTTATTAACAAGTCAAACAAAGAGCGTGGCGTCACCGTTGCAGCCAACGCCTAGTGACTCAGGAATGGAGACCTCGAGTTCACAAGTGCCTTCTTTTGAGATCACGAGCTACGACCCTGATAAAAGTTCTTACCCAATCAATGAATGGCTTGAAGATTGTTCAAAATTAAAGAAAGAACTCAAAGTCAGCGATATTTTAATGATCAGCAAAGCTGGCAATGCTTTGAAGCATTGGGGATACCATTATTATCGTGATTGGAGGCCCCTTTCAAGGACATGGGACAATTTCTGCAATGATCTTATTGTTGCATTTCCTGATCGTGAAACCCCTGGCACCCGTGCACATATCGCTGCAACCCTAAGTAGCCGAGACTGTGAATCATTATCTGATTATGGTAACCAAAAACTACGTTCAATTAACAGGTTTTATAATCAGCTACCATGGAATATTATTCTTAGCATGGTTGAGTATGGATTGGAACACACCGAAGCCCGTTCCGCAATCCGTGTGCAAAAGCCAACATCCGAACGTGACTTATTAGTATTGCTCAGCGAGTTTGATGCCCGCCGTGCAAGATCGCTCAAGAATAGCGCCGAAAAACGAGGGGAACGAAGGATAAAAGAAAGATACGATCCAAAGGTCGTGCGTTTTGAACCATCGACTAGTAAATGCTTCAAATGCGGCCGGCTTGGACACCATCAAAGCAAATGCCGATTGGTCCAGAATCAGAAAAGTGCAGAGCCCATTGAATCATTTCTTAAGAGTGCGTCAACCCCTACCAACGACAAGGCAAATGTTCCTGTGTGTGATTTCTGTAAGAAAATGGGTCACACTGACGTCAACTGTTGGCTGAAGCATGGGAAGCCTAAAAAAGCGTTGTTGATGAGGAAATGACGCCATCTGTCAACAACACCGATAGCCTCCGTTTTATGCGAAGAAAAAGCGCTTTCATTCACGTATCTCATCGACACAGGTGCTGAGCGGTCAATTATAAAACATTCCGTAGTTCTTGCCCTGGACGGTAAAATAAAACCAAATCGTGACGTATGTGCTTTCGTAGGATTGGGAAACCAAATCATTTATCCAGTCGGTGTTTGTGAGTTGATATTTGTTTTGTCTACAATAACATTAGAGATTAACTTTGCCGTGGTACCAGATAAAGTGATTCCGGGCGAGTTGGACATTATTATTGGCTGGGACATTATAAGTCGGCCTTTTGTGCAGATAGTGAAAGACAGTACCGGACTTGAGTTACAATATCAACTGTGCCCGATTCAAAAAGTTCTCGTTGGACAGTGTGCACCTGAAATTAAAGTTAATCTACCTAATTTAGGTACTGACTTAAAGTTGTATGGAGAAAAGCTGTTGGTGAAATATAGGTCTAAAACGCCTGATCATATTTTAACTGGAAAAATGACAATCACTTTGAAAGACAGTACTCCAGTGGTATATCGTCCTCGCCGATTAGCATACCAGGAGCGTATTCAAGTCGCGAATATTATAAGTGAACTTTTAAAGGACAAAATAATTCGCGAAAGTCACTCAGAATATGCGAGCCCTATAGTGTTGGTAACGAAAAAAAATGGCCAACCGAGAATGTGCGTGGATTATCGTGATCTAAACAAAAAAGTGGTTAAGGAAAGATATCCCTTGCCACTTATACAGGACCAACTTAATGCCTTATGCCATGCAAGATACTTCACAACCTTAGATATGAGATCCGGCTTCCACCAAATGGAAATTGATGAGTCTTCCAGGCATATTACAGCTTTTGTAACGCCAGATGGACTATACGAGTGGAACAGAGTGCCATTTGGTTACGTTAATTCACCAAGTACTTATCAACGAGCTATTGACAAGGCATTAGGAAATCTAAAAGGCAAAAAGGCTTTTGTTTACTTAGATGATGTATTGGTGCCATCGTCTACTATTTCAGAGGGACTGCAAAACTTGGAAGAAGTGCTAGATGCTCTAGCTACCTCAGGGTTTTCTTTGAATTATGACAAGTGTGTTTTCTTTGCCCAAGAGACAGAATATTTGGGAGTGAAACTGAGTCAAGGAAGAGTACGTCCGAGTACACGAAAAGTCCATGCATTAACACAAACCATTGCCCCTATAAATGTGAAAGGTGTCCGGCAATTTTTGGGGTTGGCAGGATATTTTCGCCGCTTCATCAAGGGTTTTTCTCAAGTGACAGCACCAATAACATCCTTGTTAAAAAAAGATCAGCCGTTCAAATGGACACTTGAATGTGAGTCAGCAAGGCAATTCCTCATCAAGAAGCTAACTGATTCACCTGTGTTGCGTCTATATGACCCTGAGTTGCACTGTGAACTCCATACTGATGCCAGTTCTATAGGCCTAGGAGGTGCTCTGTTCCAAAAGGAGAATGGCATTCTACAGCCAGTTGCATATTACAGCAGACGCACTACCGCCTGTGAAGCCCGCTATCATTCATATGATCTAGAAACACTGGCAATTGTCGAAGCAGTAGAACATTTCCGAGTTTACCTGTATGGAAAACATTTTACAGTGTTCACTGATTGCAATTCGGTGCGAGCCACCGCCTTAAAGAAGAATTTACACCCTCGTGTCGCGCGGTGGTGGGTGAAACTCCAAGACTATGACTTTTCCATAGAGTACCGCCCTGGACATAAAATGCAACACATAGACTATTCAAGCCGAAATCCAGTGGATGATGATTCAAACGAGTTAAAAGTGTTGGCATTAGAGACGATAAACATAAACAAAATTGCCAATAAGGATACACTTCGAGAGTTTCAGCAAAGTGATACTTTTTGTAAACAAATATTTGATAATCCGGACTGTGACCCTGACCTTACTGTTGAGAAGAACAT